AAGAGTCTAGAGCTTTCAGAGTTGCGGGTTTGCGCGTTTGGGATGACGATGTGCCAGCTTGCAGGATTCTCGGGTGACTTCCCTAAGCCCCAGACCCTCAAGTGGTAGTGTGCTTTGCGTTGTGTCACCAGTGTTTGTTTTCTGGGTTCCTATGGAGGAGTGTTTATGTCAGGGGGTGCGCTGGGGTGTCGATAACAAGGACAAGGGAGTATTATGACACGTATCTGCATGTACTGTGTCCTCTACTCCAAGGCAGGCGGCCTTGTAGGACCATCATGACTGTAGGGGCTCTATGCAGTTGCGAGAAGGAAGTGTACAGTGCCTGTTGGATTTCCGACAATGCTGTTGCCCTTGTTGTCCGTGTCATGACTATATTATACGTAAGCTTGGCTGATGACACGTACCTTCCATACCGGTACCAATTCCTGGCTTGGTTGCAGTCTCAGACCCACGAAGTTACGCGCACTTAAGGGATCCAAGCAGCCCAAACTGGGGACTTTAGGGCCAGAGTCATCGTTGTGCATAGAATTGCAACCCCAGGGTTATGTGTTACATCTCTGGACCCGTCTCGAATTTTAATCCTGGCAACCGGCTGCGCATGCCTCATCCCCTCGAATCTGAATCATGACTCGGATTTTTGGTTCCAATATCTAGGACACCATCCGCTATGTTGTTCTGGAGATTTTTCAAGCTACATACAGGCCACGCTTGCAAGCAAGCATGCTGTAGCACTTGGAGAGCCAGTCCCCCGAAACAGCAGGCACGTAAGGTTATCCACGACCACTAATCATAGAAATGTAGCAGTAGAGAAGGGCCCTAATACAGGTACCGGCACCGGTAATTACTGCGCGTGGATTGGGGAGATTCTTACAAGCCTCTTTGCAGAGATCCCTGGTGTTTGGTGTAGGTGCCAAAAAAAGACTAGATCTCGACAGTGTACGCCGCCCCGGCCATTTGGCTGCTTTCTGATATAAAGGCTCAGTAACGGCACTTGGTGTTCACAAACAAGAGGTAAGAAACTTATTAGCTTTGAAAAGGCCAGTGTTTCCCAACGTCGGATTTCTTCTGAAGAGCCCCATGCAAAGTGCTGTGTCATATGTTGCATGTGCAGGGTCCCGGACAAGAGGACATAGCCTGAACAATAGTCCATCTGGCAAAAGGTCCATCAGTGACTAGCCGCATCTTCGTGCACTTTGCGTGTGAGCTGGACATGGAGACACTTGGCTTCACCGATTATCAGGGAGGAGGTGCTTGCTGTTTTTAGGGTCTCGTGCTTTTTGGGTATTGAATGTAAGCTCGGGCATAGTCTGTGTCCGAGTTGCCGCCTTACCCCAAAAATAAGGATGTTGTTGAAAGTTTGGGATGGATCCTTGCAGGTGGGTTCCTGTTATAGTAGTGGCCCCTACTTTCCTCCTGCCTTGGGAAGTTCAGCAAATTCCTGCGAGGCCCAGGCCGAGCAAGCTTAGAGCACATCGTCTGATGTTGGTTGATGTTGAGCAATTACGTTTCTAAAGAAAGTGTAGGTTCCTTGTTCAGGGCTCCCTGCGTGTAGCTTCTAACTTCTGTGAGCTGTACATATGGCAAATCACGTCAGCTGAGCGCTCAAGTCTTAAGTGGGATTGCCGAGAGAATGCTGAAGCTGGATCGATGCAGGCTTCATTCTGCTTATCTAGTACAGTTTTGCACCTGCTTCCTACTTTCATACGCTCCGTAACCCAGAAATGCTGACTGTAGCTCAAGAGGGCCGATTGTAGATAAGAACATAATAGGCTGGCCTGTAGATGGGTTGAATGGCTTTACGGCTCTTGGTGTGAGCTTCAGACCTAGCAGCTTTAATGGGTTCCAGGTGAAGGTGTAGGGCTTCGCATTCGGGACGGCTTTGGGCAAGTATATATAGGAACGCAACAGCAGCATGGCACGCTCCCAGATACAGGTGTTCGCCCTCAAGCCTGCAAAGCAAACTGCGCGCAGTATAGCTTCATTAACTATCCTGACGTTGACATATACCTTAAACTTCCATCGCAGGCTGGGGGAGCTCGAGCAGCGCTTCACCGACACCATCAGCAGCCACGTTGGGCGACACGCTCGGCATACGAGTTGGCCAGAGGTCGGGGTTCAGGTTCAGGGCATTGGGAAAGAGGGGGATTCGATGAATCGGGAGCAATTCTACGGAGAGGTCTGCCTTCGCGAAGATTACGTCATGAAGGACAGCTTTTTTGGCTTCCCCATCGAATCTTCTTCACTTGATTTTAGGCGGCATGCCTGCCTAGAACCCAGCGCTAGAACCTCAACCCTAAACCCTCGCGTGCAGTCACACTCAGCATCTTCTAAATGTGCCAAGGATGTTCGTAGCACTGAGATTAGCAGTGACCTGCCCCCAGCAGCAAGGTATCAATGAACTTGGCGCGGCATTTGTCGTCGGGAGGGAAAACTGATGTTACCGGCATAACTGTTGATAGCTTTGCGCCCTCAGCACCTCCCAGGCATCGCGGTTCAGAGGTCATCAAGCTCTGCATTGATGAGATTGAGGTGAAGGTGCATCGCAGAACAGGCCCGCAGCTGTCGAAGAGTATCAGAATTATCAAATAGTGCTTGGGATGTTTGGGGCTTCTGAGTGTCTATCTCTCAAAGGGTCACGGTATTTTGAGGACCTTCATCATGATTGAAACGGCTATTGACAGTTATGGGGACCCTATCTTAGACTTGAAAGTCTGGACCTCCCAGCTCCTGCCCGGAAGGAGGTCTCTCGGCAGCGCCATGATGTGGATTCAGATCATGACCCAATTAGCGAGGGCATCCAATCATTGTCGGGAGGATTACTACTGCTCAGGCGTCTTAGGCGTTTCTCCGTCTCAATTTGTTTGGCAACCATGCTTGCTGACTGCATTGACACAGAAGGTCCTGTAGCCATCAGCTTCGACGGGGCCACAAAGGTCTCCAACATGCGAAGTACCTGGCTACACAAGTGTTTCCAAGCAAGGTGCTGATCCCTCTGCAGAAGGGAAGAACCACGTAATCAACACCGATATGACGGGTCTTGGTGGTAGTAGCAATCCCTGGCAGAAGACCCTATGCATTCCGAATGACTTCTTCCTTGCTCTCTTTGTGGCCTCGAAACAGCTCCCGGTTCCTGAAACTTGAAAAACAGTCACTTGCACTCCGCTGTACTCCTTCCATCGCTACAGCATTCATACAGACTGAAAGCCTTTCTTATGTGTTTTCATTCCCAGGTATTGCACGCAAGACTGTTCAGAACACCACTCTAAGATGTGTACATGCCATTCCCAAGGCCATACCTATAAAGCCAAAATCTTAAACCTCATTGCCTGAGCCCCTAGAAACCCCTACAGCCCAAACCCTCATGCTACGAGCCCCATTCCCTGAATTCAATCCTGTTCCAACCTAAAGATTTCAAGGCAGTGGCGTCGAAACCCTTCGACTGTCTCTGTCTTCGCTGGGCCGGGGCCAGCAGTTCCTGGCGGTCGTTCTGGAAGTTCAGGGATGTCGGGTTGAGAGGTACCGAGATTCGGGTTCAGCGGCTTAGTGGTCTGTATGCTTTGTGGTTGGAGTTTGGAGTGTGTTGAGAGAGCTTGTTATTCTCCATCGGGGTGGGGATGTCTTTCGCCTCTGCATGTACGAGGACTGCCTTACCGCAGAGGACGCATCAGAAAGCATGTGGTTGGAATTTCGCGAGGGTTGCGTGGGATCCATTGTTGATGAAGCCAATTCTTTAAATCTGGCGGGATAATCTGATGGGAAATCTTTACAAACTCTCGGTGGCCTTTCCTGGGTGTCAGCCTGCTGAGTAATGACAAGAAGGTACAGCAATTCTCGAGGCTGAACAAGGCTTTTTGTGGTGTTACATTATTCTCTATGAGCGCAAACTAAGCTAACCAGACCTTACCTTAGCTGCTCTCCAAAGTACGGTAGGGTATCAGCTTTGGAGAAGCCCGGTCACAAGGGAGTTGTCCCAACTATGGCCCGTCCATATTATGAGGCGCGATGTGCTGGTGAATGTACATACTGGCTGTCTGCCACACGCACCAGAAATGTCCATCCGGGAGCGTAGGACTCGGCATCATGTTCCTCATAACCATAATACTACACTTACAGCATGATTCTAATGGCTCGTTACTTCGCAAGGAATTTGTCTCTTGCATGCAGGCTTGCATGTGACACCCACGTGATGGTTTCACATTGACTGCCATGAGATGGAATTCTCCACCAGCCTGAGTTCGCAACATTTTCTCTGGGACAAATGTGGAGCCATGTGTTCTTGACTTAGGTGAGCACGGAAACTTTGAAAATGACAAGTGGGCAAGCATGGCTTCTATCTGGGACTATACTTCTGGGTCTGGGGCGCCCCCTGATAGCCATAAAGCGAAAAGACGCAGCGGATTTTTGCTGTGACCCCAGCACATTCAGTAACAGAGAACAGCACGGATGCAAAGTTGGCAGTAAGGGTCAAACACAAATTTCTGGAGAATCTTTTTATGAGTCTGAGGTGTTCCCCTTGTGATGACAAACCCCCTACTGCCAATTATCAACTTAGCCAGCATCTTTAGCACCAAGAACTGAATGGCAGTATGTAGCTGAAGTTTGACTGATTGCTGCTAGCTAGTCGAGAGTCTTTTCCCGCAAAACTAACTGGTTGGATCTTTGACACCATGCAAACAAGTGAATGGCAATGCGTAGCCGTAGTTTCAATGTTTTTGAGGAGTAGGGCCCGTACATATTCCCAATATGTTGGGATGCAAACTCCTGATGCCCATACCAGGTGCCCATCACTTCAGCCTAGTCCCCAGACCTTGAGTGGCCCAACCAAAAGTCCTCAGCCATGAGCCCGAAAGCCCAGGTCGACCCACAGCTTGAAGCCCTAGTCAAAGACCTACACCTTCCAGCAAGCAATTCGTAGCCCCTAAAACCAAATCCCTGAAGCATTAAACTGCACCAAAACCGTGATCCCATGGAACCGAGGCGGGGGTTTCTTGAAGCCCAAGATGCTGAGGGAATTCCCGGATCCTGTCACGGGCTTCCCACTTCGTTTCTGGGACAGCTTCAAGGGAGTTCAAGGTGTATAAAGCTTTCTCTGTTCAGGATGTGGGCTTTAGAACGTTGAGGAATCTTGTTTTTTGGGGGTCAAGGGGCTGCGGGGCTCGGGTTTGGGTGCAGGCTGGTGGTCTTCGCAAAGCCCCTTTCGGGTCTCATGCTCGTACGGTGGGCGTGTTTCTGGTCTGAAGAGGGAACATGTAGGTAGGTTGCGTTGCATTCGTGTCGAAAAGGCTTTTCGTTGTGTTTGACTTGACGGTTTTGTTTCCAGAGTGAGGTTTACTAGGGGGAAGATGTGGGTTACAACAGGAATGTGAGATGCCTATGAGGGATCATGTGGTTCTTATTTTGACAAACACCCATAATTGTAAGCATATCTGTTAAAAGTTCAAGAACCTTGTCTGAGTTCTGCATGCCGCAGAAAGTGCTTGGGCAAGTCTCTGCTCTGCCAGCCATCTCCTTTGGCTTCCTAATCGAGAAGTCGAGAGAGGCAACCAACGATCTCATCTCATTGATACACCTGCAGTGGATGCCTGCAAGCCGGAACCTTGTTTCAGGAGTGTTGGGCCCCGAACGGCCGAGTTCCAACTTTTATCTTTGGAATTTGGGCTGGTAATACGAGATGTTCAAGACCAGGCGACATTTTTGAATGTCAAGGACACGTTCTACGCCCTGTAAATGCCCATCCCAATCCCAGACCCAATGCCTGTAAACCCTATCCCCCCCCACCCCCCATGCAAGGCTACCTCTCCTCGACCATGAAGTCTCATCAGTTAATGGGACTTCGTCAAACCTGGCATTCACGTCACAAACCTCAACAAGAAGATGGACCTCAGCATGATGACCTGAAAGAGGGCCCAGAAGAATCTTGAGAACCACCGCGCCCTCCGCACTTAACCTAAACCGTATATCTGAAATCTGAAGCCGTAAATCCTGTGGCGTAAATCCCTACATTAATCTCCAAGCCCTACATTCCTGAACCCTGTATCCGTCGAGGTTGGGAGGCCGCCAAGGAAGGTTCGGCCATCAGTCATTCCGAGCACCCTCATGCCATTGCCCCAGAAGTTTGCTTTGGCTGGCATTTTGCCAGGGGCATAGTCAGTGATTTGAGGGCTATTGGGGCCTGCAGCGGTCTAAAGTCTAAAGGCTTGGGGTTCAGGAGTTTAAGGTTTCGGCTCGGCTTGTCACCTCAAAACTTGGGGTCATTCGGGGGTTCCTTGAAGAAGGGACTGTATGGATAGTGAACTGTAGTTTAGTCGGGAACTCTTTTGGAGTTTTTTTCTGGGGTCTCCTTAGAGCCCATTTGCATAGTTAGATAGTCCCAAGAAAGCATGACGGTCACAATTTTCCGGATTAGAGGGTTATGTACATGGGGCCGGGACCAACGTCTTCCCCCAATCGCTGGGTGGCTCAAATCTTGCATTGTACACGTACTTGGATTAGATTGACAGGCTCAGGGTGTTGATGCCTCAGCCGGAGTGAAGGCGGGGAGGGCCTTTCTTTTGCTGTCTGAAGGAAGACATCAGCATTCCATGGTGGGTCTGGTCATGGCGTCCGTCTGCCATTATACAGGGCGATTTTACTTTACGAAAATAATGGATGGGGCTCTCAGCGACCCGATCGGGGTCCGTCTTATGCAATGTAGAGGGATGATGTTGAGAAACTCTCGCTGCGATGTAGCCTGGGCATCATGTCACTCAATTCTCCAAGAATTAAGAGACCTATCTGTTGTTATTCCAGAGTCGTGTCGCAAACCCTGCGACCTTGAATTCATACGAGCCCCAACATCATCACAACAAACTGCATGCCGAGAATCTCAGTCCGCAAGCCGCAATGCTGAGCAGGCATGAGTTTGCAAATCATTGTATAACTGAGTTTTGGCTGGCCAAGCCACGTGATGGTGGCTCCTGGGACCTTAGCTTACGTACCTCGTGGAGAGATGGTCAGTCACGGGTGCGGAACAGGCCGCTGAAGTCGAAGATCCTTAAAAGACTGACCACGCAAACTCGACTCTCAAATCCTGTCTTGGCTCCACCACCGGGTTTCAAACAAGCCCCTCGTTGGGAGTATGCGCTCATGCTGCACGCATTGCGTTTTGATCCTCATTGCCTTCTTGACCAGAGCTTTCTAGGGTTCCCCACGCAGTCCTCAAGTTGGCCTGGCTGATTTCTCCTCATTCTGCATATCCCAACAGTTGCCTAGGGTAGACATGCTTGAGAACATGGTTACGTCGTTGTTTTCTGGGTGCTGCCGCAGGTTGCGTAACTCGAGTGTCTGTCATAGAACGTCGCTGGCTAAACTATCCCCTCCTGTAAGATTCGTATACCTGGTCTTCTTCATACAAAGAGCCCGACCTCCAAACGGTGAACCCCACAGCCGCATGAAACCGCTGTTGGCCCCTCTATTCTCGGGGTGGGCTCTTTATTTGGAGAGGATCAAACTCACCCAAACCCTGCGACACTCCAATTACCTTAAGATTCGCAATTCAACGCAAGTTCCTCAAACTCACCCACAGTGAGCTCTTTGGTTTTCTTGTTTGCGCCGGAACGAGATCCAAAGATGTTTGCAACGCAGCGAAGCAAAGACGTATGTTTTCAGAATCAAGAGCTTAGAAGTCCCGACTTCCATTTTCTTTCACATCTCAGGTCCTTCCCATTTTCTATACCAAGCCACTTAGCCCCTGAGCCTAAAACCCTCCTGTTTAACTCCAGCAACCCAAAGGACCCAATCCACCTTGATTAGAGAATACGCAAATCATACTAGGATCCTTTTGAAGATATCTCCTAATGTGCAGTGGGCTCCCTGGAAGAAGATCCTCCCAGGTTGCCGACCAAGCCGAGCTGAGCCGTTATCAGGCCAAGCGTGCCGTGGCCTCTGCATCAGGGCTAAGGGTTCAGGATTTATGGTTAGGGTTAAATTTATGTAGGGCCAGTAGCGTTACTATTTATATTGCACATACAGTGGGCTCGACTAGCCTCCTGTCCACCAGGTCACTAGGTAGCCTCAGCATGTGCTAGTTCGCGAGGGCTGCGTTTTGGAGGATTGAGGACTTAAGCCTCAGCCCTAAACAGCCCGCGTGGGTTTGGGGCATGGAGGGTTATCAGCCGAAATCCACGATTCCTAGCTGTGGAGATTGTTGGGGCTAAGCACTTCTGGGGCGGGTGCACGCAGGAGGGCCAGCGAAGTGACACAAACCTGCATGTAAGGATCTACCCGCGTTACCCTACAGTTGTAGTGAGGGACCATGGCTTCCTCTCCTACGAGGCGTTCCCCATCCTCTCATCAATGATTCATTGACGATTTCTACTGTACCAATATACAGGCGGGCATGATTTGTTTATAGACAGGGTCGTGAGTAACCTTCAGACTCGGGAAACCTAACTGGCCCGATTTGAAAACAACAACCTCTTGCCTGGCTCGTTGTAGCATTTTACTTGTTATTTCAAAATTGGAGACTTCCCCACCAGCTCCTTGGCTCCTGTTCGGAAGTCTAAAAGGGCGCAAACGGATCACGTACTTGTCTAGCTGAAGAAATACTGTTCTTCCTAGGACACTCTACATCATCTTAAGGCCTGAAAAACGGAACCCGACCTTGAGAACCTCTGCTTTCCATTCCCGCCAAGGAAGATTTGAAACCTGAAGTCCTGAACCCAAATTACATTTCCGAAGCCCTTCAAAAAACTGAACCCCCAACCGCACGACCTTGAACTTTCAAACCCCAAGCCTTAAAGCCCTCCCCCCCACCAAGCCTCCCAAACTTTTAGCACCGAAACCCTGATCCGTGCTTCTGACAAAAACTCAGGTGGCAGCGAGACGTGCAGGCTCAACGTATGCCTTCGACTTGCCTGGGACCTGGCACAAAGCGTCTTAGGGTTCTCGTAGGGGCATATGTGGAACATACATGCAGTGTCCGATATTCATATATGAGGATGGCGAGGTTTTCCTGGGGGAGCGCATATGTGATGCACAGGGATTTTCTGTTATGGTTGGATCCAGTTATGTTAACGTTTCTCCCGCCGCACCCGGTCGCGTTGAGCAAGGGCCTTTTAAAGGGATGACAAAGCACGGGGTCCCCTGCCCCACCCCAAAAGCCAAAAGAGCTTAGAGGCTTAGACCATGATTCTGCCAGGCGCCCATCATGGACCCAGCATTTACACGATGTTCACCTGGTATCACTAGGTCACTTGATCACCAGTCGCGAGGCCGAGGTTTCAAGATTGTGCCGCTAGGGCCTGCTATAGACATGGAAATGGCTTCAAGTCGTGGGTGGCAGGGACGGTTGAGAAAACCTGGGGTCCACGTTGTGCACCCCAACCCATTCAACTGCTTGCCATACAGACTCCCCCAAAGGGAATCTTTCAAAACATTCCCCACGCAGACCATTATTTTAATCGAAGATCAGATTGGCTCAGCTCAATGGTGAGAGACTGTTTGTTTGGTGTCGGAAAAAATTCTATGCCACCTCGGGCATGTCCTGAATGATTAGGATACAGATCCCCAAAGTACAGATTCTCCATTTTGGGACAGTAAGTTGGAAAAGCTCGCACCGAGCACGAAACATCGAGAACCATAAAACAACCCAAGAGTAGGATTCACAGCAATCATCATAGATTTGTTCCACTCGTTCTGGTAGCACTGAGGGGTTGATTGTAGCGGTGTAGTATCATTCACACCTTCACGATTGTTATGGCAACACAGGTGACGAGCAGAAACTCCTGTTGATGATGAACCTGGGAGCAGGGTTCATGCTAGGGAGCTTGAAAGCGCAGCACCCATTTTCCAGTGCAAACTCATGTACCACTAACTGCCCCAAGCCCTTGTCCTAATTTTTTGGGCCTTAAACCCAGAACCCCCACCCCTAATCCTCAGAGCTCAGAGCGCAAAACCAAGCCCTACCTAAGTAGACCTGAAATGTAACAGTCACAGCGATGGCGATGGCATCCACAGTTCTGGGGTCAAAGTCTGACGTATGGGAGGTCTGGGCAAAATCCTAAGTCCCAAAGGCCTGGCATGCTGAAGCTGGCATTGACCATGAAGTGGATCGCAGCCACGAGCGGCAGCTCGTAGGGCCGCCTTGTTTGCTTCACTTGCAAGATTGCCCCTCGTCAGGTCTACTGGCTTCTTATTGGGACATGGTGAAGTATTCGATTTTGATATTCTTTATTTGGCTGAAGGTGTAGCAAAGCTGCAATCAGACGGACACATTCAACCGGGTTGCTCAGAAGGATCGCAGAGAACGCAAGGGCAAAATGGAGTCTGGGGAGGAGTTCTCAGAAGTGTTCTTCCACGTACAATCATTATCCTTGTTGATTCGAGGGTTTCGGGCCCAGGGTTTAAGTAAGGCACCTCGAGCTGCCGTGCAAATTGTCTATTTACTGTGCAGTTCAAGTGTGCGAGGGGCCTCCACTTGAAACACCTCATTGTAGGGATCCGCAAGTCGGGTAGGGACATCATTACTGGCCGGCGCAGGGAATCCTTCAAAATGTAATTATCATACTTGGGAGTGAGCGTGGAGCGCGAAAAGCAGAAGCGCAAACCCTCAGCCGTCTGAGGGACTATGGCTGTGGACCCGAACAGCAGCGTCAACCGTTAGCACGAACTCTCACACTTCAGGCCCTGCTTGTACCAACACATGTATGTGGTGCCTTTGCTTGCACCTTGAGCGCATTCTGTGTAGGTGCTAAAGGCCTTCTTGTTTTGCTGACATGACTCTCCTGTATTTACCGGGCCAGACATGACCGGACAAGGTATCTTTTAAGACTTGGCTCTGGTCGCCGTAGCAGGCTAGAATGTTAATGTTATGGCACTAAAGCTTTCCTTTTGCGATTGTTCACGAAGAAGCCAGGAAATTCACTTGCTGAGGAAGCTTGGGGATCCTTCTGCGGGCGAGCTTCATCAAGCTTTGGCTGATTCAAGAAAATGCCTGATGGCCTTGTCTTACATCCCAGGACCAAAAGACTCCACACAAAATCCAAGAAACCCCTTCTCTGGCCTTTGAACCGTTGACATGCAGACTCCCTGAAGGCAGCCCCCTTAAGGATCCAGGCAGGTGCATTTCTTACGCGACATTCCATTGTTGCCACTGGAGCCAGGAGTTGGTTTCCTTACTTTCATTCAACCTAACCTAGATTCTGGAATCTTGCAGGGGACGGAAATGCAAATGTCATTCTCATACGCTGTATGGCAGGACTCGCCGACCATCCTCGCCAGATGCACGTGGGGAAGGCTCAACTGAAGAGGTAATTGGACCATTTGAGCGTGTGATACTTAGGGCATCTAGAGTGTAGTTTGAGGTTCTGTATTGGAGTTTACCAGAAGTGTGCTCCTTTAGGTTGTCGCTGTTGCAAGTCTTAACGTCCCGGCGTCCGTTGGGGACAGTTGAGTTGGGGCATGTACTTTGCAAAGCACATCATTCCTGGCCAGTTGCTTTCGTGACTGAATGCTGACAGGCAGTTTCAGTCGATGGTGTTCGCGGAATTAGTTGCAAGCGTCCTTCGCTGGTGGGAACGATCAGCACTTTAATCAAAGGGTGCTGGTAGTTGGGTATGTCAACTGTTCAAAGTCTGGGCGCGAATTTGCCTCTCAAAGTGCTATGTGAGGTTGGTCGGAGTCCGTTTTCTTGAGGAGAACTAATTTACTTCCCGAAACAGCACTTGTACTTGGACAGCTAGTGAAGCTTTTCACCTTTGTGACCAGTGGCATGAAACCATGCCTTTTGTTGCTAGTTCTGGCGACCCCTAATTCTAAAGCTGAAGTTGATGTTGATCCCAGTGTTGCTGTACCCCTGGCTATTCAGTAGTCAGTTGAGGATGTACGCACTTGACAGGCGGGTGCTGACGAACCTGCCTAACTGCATGCAGGTGCCCTTATGCCCATTTATCAAACCAGAGCCCCCTGACACTCTTATGCACCCAACAAGAATAAGCCTTTTCCTGCATCCTAAGCTGCATTCTTTACGTCCTGCTGCCCCTGAAAGAATGTTGTGCCGCAGAATAGGATATTCCGAGGCAAGCCCTCCCTATTCCCGAAGCCCAAGCAGCTAAACCCCAAACCCTACCCTCGTAGCCATAGGCTGTCACAGTCATATTCCTTAGATTGTCCTAAGGTGTCCTAGGCCCTGATCCCAAGAGCCTGAAGTGCTTCCTCGAGGTCGCGGGGCCCGCAGACGAAGCCCTTCTCCCCGCTCTGGGCTCGCGTCCCAGAAGGCGCTTTCTGAATATGATATTATGATATACGGCCACTTAATTTGATAAGAAACGGGCGTAGATGAGATTTTGCCCTGGAAATTTCTTATTGGGGCACCCCGCAAATAAGAAATCTAAGATGGGCTGGAGCAGATTTCTGATCCGAAGGGCTGGAGAGGCTGGAGGGCTTCAAACTTACGTAAATAAAACCTAAAGGCTGGAGGGGCTGGAAGGGTTGGAGTGGCTGGAGCCTCTCCAGCCCCACCAGCTCTCCGACCCAAACCTTACGCAAAGCAAACCTAAAGGCTGGAGGGGCTAGAGCGACGGCTACCTGCTGGAGGGGCTGGAGCCTCTCCAGCCTCTTCAACCCCTCCAGCCCTCCAGCTCAGTTGAGCCGAATTTCTTATCGCTCCCACCTCCAAACCCCAGGCAGAGCATGGAGGGGCTGGAGCGAAGGCTGGTGGGGGCTGGAGCCTTTCCAGCACCAGCATTCTTGTCGCCACTTGACGCAAAGCAAACCTAAAGGCTGGAGGGCTGGAGCCTCTCCAGCCCCTCCAAGCCTCTCCAGCTCAACTCACCCGAATTTCTTATGGGGGCTGGAGCCCCTCGAGCCTCTCCAGCCCCTTCAGCTCCTCCAACCTCTAGCCTTTTTCAGCTCAGCTGAGAGCTGAATTTCTTATCGACACCTAAGGCTGGATCCGCTGGCGCGAAGGGCTGGAGGGGACCCCTCCAGCCCCTGCAGCCCCTCCAAGCCCTAGCCTCTCCAGAGAGCCGAATATCTTATCGCTCCCACCTTCAAACCTTGCGCAAAGCAAACCTAAAGGCTGGCAAGGCAAGGTTGGAGGGCGTTGGCTGGAGGTTTGGAGGGGCTGGAGCCTCTCCAGGCCGTCCAGCCCCTTCAAACCCTAGCGCTCCCACCTTCAAACCTTACGCATGCAGGGCAGGCTTAGAGTGGTGTGGAGGCACTGGAGACTCTTCAGCCCAGTTTTGCCTAAGGGCTGGAGGAGTGGAGCCTTGAAATCTTTAGGAGCGATACGGAATTCGGCTCAGCTTGGACGCTGGGCAAGGAATTTCAGCCTGGCCAGCCTGTGATTTCTTGTTTGGAACGATTTCTTATTGAGTGCGTTCGCCGTCAGGATTGCAGGATTCAGTAGCTTTAGAGGGGTATGTTTTTGTAATTGCCGCCAGTATGTAAAGCACGTCCTACCTGACTTACATGATCACAACGGCATGATCTAGGGTTACACAGGAATTCTACAGGGCGGTGTCTCTTGACGGAGCTGGTAGGGCTTGTCGATACCTAGAGGCATGTACCGTGTAGCCTACCCCTTCGGTTGGGGTGCCCCATAATATGGGATGCTGCTTCTGTGTTTCTGCGGATACTAGATTAGGTATCCCCAAAGGTTAGCCGTCGCGGTTCTTGAGTCGTTCGGAGCATCAGAGACCACATGGTGGAGTCGAAGCATCTGAGGAACCCGCACTTTGTCTTATACAAGGGAGGCAACAATTTCTGTTTAATCCATACCCACACAACAAGTGAACTCTAAGGGCGGCGCATCAGTGCGTGTATGTTGGATTGAGTAGATACTACAAAGTTACAATCTGATGGCTATCTGGAGTTGTTGGAATTTCTTCCCATATCTCGTGTTGCCGTCCGCTCGTGAATTGTGAAGGTATGAGCCCTGCACGAAAGAAAGCGCAACATGATGGCCTGTAGGGCTTCAAGTTTGGAGTCTTCATCATTCTGAGTGTCGGACTTAAGGCAGCTCTGGCCGCGGTGATTGTAGTGTTAGGCTGAAGCGGGTCTCGACCGTTGGTATCTTAGAAGCCTTGACCGTCCTACCCTTCTCTGCAAAGTCTGCCAAGACAGCCTGCTGAGCCGCTCATGATGGCACCGTCTTGCAAGTTTGCCCCAATTGAGACATGCTCTTGGCGCATGTATATTTTGCACTAGAATTTTGGCTGGGAATGCCCTATCCTGACAGCGCAATCTCACAACCCGACAATCGAGCACTTTGGAGCCCTAAATGCTACGTTGCGTGCGCTTTCACGAAATACTCCGCACTAAACTCTAAATCCCAGATGGGCTTGTCATTCTCTGAGGCGAGGCGCTCCAACTGTGCCCTCTCAGGTGCACCGAAAAGGGGGGGGGGGTTGATGGTATAGATTAGGGTTAGGAGTCTTGGCTTTTGTGATGATTGAGTGTACGGAGTAAGGAGTATGTTTGGGAACTTATTGGGCTCAAAGTTGGAGCATGTCGCTTGTTTGATATTGGATTAAGACTTGGTATCAAGGGCTTGCATTCACGAGTTGCCTTTTCACGGCTTGGGGTTGGGACTTTTCAGATCAGAGTTTGCCGTTCGTGTTCAGGAAATGTGAACAACCTGCATCAGTTGAACTTGGAAGTCTCTCCTTGGCGTGCTCTTAGGGGACAGGCGCAAGGATTCAGCAGAAGGAGTGTCTTGGTCTGCAAGTGATTTATGGTTGTGGCTCATGCAGGGCTTAAAATGTTCCTTGTGCGTCAGACGGCGCAAGGGCAGGTGCTAGAGAGCGCGGCTGCTGGAGCATCACAAGAACTCTGATTGATGTGTTGCTCATACAAAAAGAATCAGTAGAACTTAGAACCTTTTGCAGCGACCCAAATAGAGCTGCACAACCCATGCAGTCTGGCGCAAACGCCCCTCTCAACTACATAGATCAAGTTATATATTCTATATATAATGTGTTATAAGTATACGTGTGCGCACATCCGATATTTTTTTCGCAGTGCTCATCCAAGGCCAGAGCTCTGCATCCTACAGCATGGGGCTGTGCTGGTTGCATGTCTCTACCTACGAATGCCAGACTACAGCTGATGAGACCAGAACCATGCCTATCCTGAGT